ACTTCTTTTCTTATACCTTTTTTTCTTTCTGTATCTTAGTTATGAAAACAATAGAAAACTATATACAAAAAGGAGAGCAGGAGGTGGAAAAGTGCATAGGATGCTGGAACCCAGGGTCATCCCATTGGTGGGAGCCTCAGGGCAGATAAAAGGAAGGACTTCATAGAACTGTACATAGTCCGACTGTGGAAGGTGCTATCACAAGATGTGGTGATGGCTTCAAAAGAAGATCAAACAAGTTAATGGAGGATAAGAGTCAATGGCTGCTCCTCACGGTGGCTACATACTACTTCCAACAGCAAAGGTTGTATGCCCCTGTATATCAGCTGCTGGAGAACATGAGAGGGAGGATGTTCATGTCTTTCCTGGGATTTTCTCACAAGTAGTTGATTGACCACTGTGGGAACAGAATGTTGAACTAATTGTGCAGGATCAAATGAAAGGCCCAGCACTGCTTCTGCTCTAACATGGCTTCTACTGCTCTAATACTCTTCCATTGGCTCTAACATGGCTCCTTCCCATTTTCTTCTTCCTCCTGTCCTCTAGCATCACTGTTTCTCTTTCATACACAAATCTCTCTAGCTTGCTTTGATTAGCCAAGTCCCTATGGCAGACATTTTGTAACCAGTCACATCCTCCATGGAAGTCATGTTGAGGTGGTACCCTCAGTAGTTTTTTCAAATTCCCTAATGATGCATGGGTCCAAAAAGGCCAGATGCCTCTTCCGAAACTCTGGTTAATTTTTATGATGATTAGTGAAAGCAAGCCAGTATCATACGCTATAGTTTGAAGTTGGCTTGTTTCCACTAACAAGAGTTAAGTTTGGCTGCAGTTTGTCCGTGTTTGGAAGATATGGCAAGCTGTGGTTAATGAAAAACTGAGGCAAATGTATCTAAATGTTCTTTGTAGCCACACTATGAAAGGAAAGGGGACAGGAGAGTATGTGAGCATGGGGTGGGGGTGCTTGTAACAAGAAACTGTGATTTAGCATTACATTGAAACCCGCCACAGTATGACCTGAGAAGCCTTGGCAATGCTGTCCTTAAATTAAATGCAGCACAAAGCCTCCTTGTTGGCTTGCTTTGTTCTTTGTTTAGCTCTGAAGATATATTTGCCCTGTAATAGCAAGCATTTTTAAGCAAACACTTTTGCTTGTCTCCTTCATTTGTTTTTATGGTTTTCTTTTTTATTTAAAATAGTCTGGTGTCAGTATGTCAGAACTACAACAGTTCTAGTTCTGTCAAGCCATTTCATGTTCTTTACAATCAGTACTCCTTCCTCTTTGCCTGAAGATATTCCTTCCGGAGGCTTCTACGGAGTATTATTTACACAGTGCAAACCTTACAAGTTCTCTGCATTGAAATGTTGCTGTGAAAACAGGTCTGTGAACTATGGATATGCCATCAGTTGAGATGTTTCACAGACAAGGGAGCTGATCAGTAGTCAGCAAATGTGAGCGAAAGAGCTGCCCAAAGACTGCGATAATGATACAGGGAAATGTTCAAGTACAAAGGCTTCAGTCCAGCAGGGACCAGGCTAAGGCAAGAGTGGTCAAAGTAGCAGGCGGTGATCAAAATATAGTTAAGCAGTCAAATAAATGGCACACTCCAGCAGCAGAATCTGGCAGGAGTCCCAGGAGCATCAATCACAGAGCAAGTCCAGGATGCAAGGTAGAAGACACTGGAGCTGACAGAATGGTATCACTTTTAGCAGTGGTTAGGCAGACACTGAAAACATTTATTGCCAGAACCTGCTGAGCTCCCTTCATCCCTGAGCTCAGTGCAGTATATTAGAATTTGCTAGCTGAAGCCCTACTTAGGAGAAGTTATTGCCTTCTGAGGAATCCTTCTCTAAAAGTGAATATTCCTTCTCATGAGAGCACTACTGGCCTGCTGCTTGAAGTGATGAGATTCTTAGAGGCTAGGGGAGCACTCAGCTGCTGTCAGAAAGGCAGAAGCTCCTGCCCCTACAGGTGTGGATTTGTACCCACCTCCCCCAGAGGATCAGGATCCTCCTGTTCTGCTGACCGTGAAAGATCTGAGCTGCTCTCAGTTTCTGTGAGTTCTTTCTCTGAGAAGGATTCTTCCAAGGATTTCTCCAGTGGAGACATGACAAGTAGCTTCCCAAGACCTTCAGAGAGTAGGCTATAAATATCTCTTGACTTTCTTTCTTCCATTTGGCCTGCAATGCACAAGATCTCAAAGCAATTGGACCAGCGCAACAAAGCAGGCTGCAACTCCCAGCATACCTTTTGGCTTTTATTAAGATTTATTCAAAAATGCTTTCAGCTATATCTTACACATCATGGAAAGCTATGCAATCACAGCAAAGGACCCAGTGGTTCAAACACCAGGTTGGCGTAATTTAGGCATTACAGAACACTTGAGTGTTACACTGGATACTCTGCTCTCTAACAGTACGCAAGAGTTGCAGCAGAGTAACTGAGGTTTCTTTATGTGGGTAGAAATCTTAAGGTATGAAATGAGTTAGAAATGTGTATGACTATGTGTTTGTTACACCTATGTATTGGTAATTTGTTTACTGTTCTTGTGAGCTGCTTTAAGCATAGTTTGGAACAGGGGGAGTATAACTAAATCTGTTGAAGATGATGTAGGAAAAAAATCAGATCGTAAGAAGAAGTCAATGCTGCTTAGGCTCTGTGTCAATTTTGGTCTTTTATTTTCCTTCATGCCAGCTCCTGAATAATTTCCATGCAATATCTAGGGTCCTACTCTTCTTTTCCAGACTTTCCCAATATATTTTTGAATTTGGCGGGAGGGGGGGAGGATAAAAAAGACAGGAAGAGAAACCCACAAAAAACAAATGTAATATTCCAGTGGGCATGTTATGGCAATACATTGTGTTTAAACACAAGTAAAATGATTTAAGTACCAAACTGTTGGTATTCTTTTTGTAGAGAAATTGAAATGGGTTTACCACAGTGAACATCCAGCCCTGCAACAAGGTCATTCAACCATTCACCTGATGATCTTTTTGATTAGGGCTTGGGGAAGGAATTATCAATAATGAAGAAAATGGATTTTATATGGATGGGTTTTATTTAGGGTTCCTGTACCTTTCTATGGAGGGAATTCTGTCAGCTACAGTATTTCAGCTTCCCACAGGTGTTATGGAATGGCAAGCTGTGCCATGTTAGGCTTAAATCCAATGTTGTATGATTGGCGTTATTCTCCTCCCCGCTCCCCTGGAGTAAATTTGGGGGTATGAAGCAGGGTAGGAAACTGTTCTACCAGTGGTTTCAGTTCCACCAGTGGACCGTCAACAACTTAAGGGTTGAAGTTAGCACCCCACTTTTCTCCTAATTGCTGATTCATCCAATTCAACCCTAATCTTTGATCAGATTTTGTGAAATACAGCTCTTCTTCTTCAGTTTTACCTGCATGCTTCTCTGGGAACTGCTGTACAAGCCACAAAACTTTATGTTGCAACTGGCCCTGGGTTTGCCTGTGGGTGTCAGCGGTGGAGGAAGTTTGCCTAATGATGCATTCAGACTGGATTTTTTTTTCTTTTGCACAATCTGCAGCTATGAAGTAAGCATAGCTGGAGGTACACGATGCACAGCATCTTGGGATCTTTGTTTGCATTCTGTTTCCATATGCTCATGCCTAATCTTAAAAGGTACATGGCTTTGCTTCATTGCTTTACACGAAGTCTTGATGGCTCCTCTCTTGGCTATTGTTCCACCCCGCTTAGCTTGTTTGGTTTGTTTTAGATCATTTTGCCTGTGCATGCTTTCACCAGACCATGTGACCTGCCCTTTGCAGCAGCTGCTTCCTGATAAGATCTTAAGGTTTTCCTCATCCTACCCTGTCTTTTTGTTCATTTGTTCTCTTTTTGGCACCCTGCCTCAATCTTAGTGGACTTGGTAGAAATACACTGTGCAAATTGGAAACCTTACACAAGTAGCTCTCTCAGGAGGGTTGTATATGTATGCAAAGGGAGAGACAGAATAGTGGGGCCCTCACCTGCTGCATGAGAGACTCATCACCATTTGGCTCCTCCTTTCACTGAATGGCTCTCATTTAGGCTAATCAGCATAAGCAAATGATGTCACTTTTAAAATCAGTACTTGGGCTTGCTTGTTTCCATATCCTCCCCATCTTTTTTAGGCATCTTGGCAAGTGGCATAATTGGACAAATGCCAGGGCCCTAGAAGGCCAGACAATGAATTCTGCTTGTTCACACTAACAGCCCAGTGCTGCTTCTTTTAGCCCGGGGATGCTGCACCCATAGCCAGTTGGTCACCCCCGGTGGCTGGCAGGGACTCGGGTGCAGCACTAAGCAGAGCTGTGAGCCATGTACAGGCATTACTTACCCCGTCATCTCAATAATCTGTCCTCACCCCCAATGTGTGTCTATCAGAGGTGGGCCAGGGGTAATGGAGACTGTGGTACTGGGGACGTGGAGCACATGGCCCTGAGCGCCACTGAGTGCTGATGGTGGAGGTACCTGCCCCTTCTGCCCTTGATGCAAGCAATTTAGCCTGCAGCAAGGGCTGTAAGAGTAGCCAGGCAGCTGTGCATTTAAGTGCCCCAGCACAGCCAGCGAAAAGATGGCAGCTCTGCCCCCAAATATCAGAGTCAGCAGAAGTAAGATGGTGAGGCAAGGAGTTGACAGGGGTATTTCAGCACCACCCTCCAGGCCTTGCCAGCTGCCCTGGGAAGCAGCCAGATAGTTGCAGCAGCAGTGGAAACGAGGGCAATTGTGATGGCACTGGCAAGGTGCGCCACCACCATCATTACAACAGGGGTGTGGGGGAGGTCACCACGGGAATCTGTCCCCCTGCCCCCCAAAACTGAGTTCAACCATAAATTATAATAGCTAAGGTGTTTGCCTGTGTACACATACAAAATGTGCAGTGGGAGATGAAATGGAATGTGGCTGGGTGAGTGAGGGTGTGTGCAAACTCTGTGTTAGGCAACCATGATTGCAAAGGCTGCCTGAGGTGCATCTCTCATGGCGTTTATGTTTTCTTCTAGAATGCAACAAAAACAGTGGAAGAGGAGAAACCTAAAGCTCCAACCATAGAAGAACTGAAAGTGAAGATTGAGAACTACAATTCAAAAGTCAACAACTGTTTGCTGATGAAGCTGGTTTGTACTACATTTTCTGCGCTGCCTTTTATCTTTATTATCATGTTGGCATTTGTCATACAAGCATGGAGTGTTATATTGAAACTGGTCCTATTTCTCTCATGAGCAGTTGTGGTAGAGTCTTGTCTAAGCCCAAGAGTAAATAAATCTCCATCTTCCCTTTTCCAAATAACTCAAAGAACAAATGAAGCTCTGATTTCTTCAGGCTGAATTTCACCATAAATGGCATCATTAACCAAAGTAAATAATGAGACAGCTGGGAGTTTAACTTTGCAGGTTGCCAAATGCCCCGACAGAAGGAAAAAATGTTTTCTGCAAGACACCCACCCTTAATAAATTTGGACTCTTCAGAGAACTGTTACTTTCCTGGTCATTTGCTGGATTCAGTGCCATCTTCTTGTGCTCTCTAACTCTTCTTCTGCCACATACGGCACCTAAGATTTGGTAGAAAGGGTGGGATGGTGAGACTTAAAAGCAAAACAAGTCTCCCCGCTTTTTTCCCTTCTCTATTCTTCAGAGCATAAAGTGGAAAGTCATATTGTACGTCTGTAATTCATCTATTCATAATCAATATGTTCATAAGGAACCGGCATTCATTCATTTTCTCCTCTGCATTTTGAGAGTTGAGAGCTAGGCTCCAGTCTGTGCCTTCTTTTCACACCAGTTTGGTCAATATGTGTGATTGCATTTGGATTGTACATTATTTCAGGGATGCTCCTGTGTTTAACTGATCAATATCGCCCTATCACACTGTCACCACCAAATTGATATATCACATCTTGAGCAGCACAGATGTGCAATCAATCTGTTCAATCTTTTAGCCTTTTAATAATATGGATATACCTTGTACAATGTATGCCCCATGGTGAGAAAGTTTTATAAGGATTCCTGCTGCTAAACAATAGAACAGCCTTCCCCAACCTTGTCTCCTTCAGAAGCATTTGATTGCATGTCCCATCATTCCCACCAGCATAGCCATTGGCCGACAGGATAGGACTGGTAGCCCAGTGCATTTGAAGGACATCCAGGCCTAGAAGGCTTCAGTAGACCATAACAGAACTGACGAAGGCTCTTTAACTGAGGAGCCTCTAATCTTGCTTAACCAGGTTTCAAACAGCTACAAGGTTATTAGGCTCTCTAGGCTCTCTAGATCTCTCTATGCATAGATGTCTATGCAAGTCAGGGGCATTATGTGGCTTGTAAAAGTAGTTGTGGGCATCTCAAGATAGGTTCAACGTATCTTGGATTGCTACTGTGTGGCTCTGCGTATTTTGTGTTTTTGTTTTATTTTGTTAAAAATGAAAAAACAAATCTTAAAAGAATAATTGAGGGCAGAAGGGAAGTTGGCTGGAAAATAGTATTAACAAAGGAACTTAGCATGAAGTGACCTTTCAAATTCACTTGGAGCCCAAAACATTGCACAATGTTTGCTAAATAACTAATCATACTGTGTTACCTCATGCAGTTACCATGTGCAAAAGTAGGATGCTTATAAGATATATAAGAACGTATAAAATAAGTACATAAATCCAGACAAGGCTGAGATACTGTGGTCCTTCTGACTAGGTGGAATGAACTCAACCAATTCTAGATTGAATAGGTTCATAACTTTGGGTTGCTGCATGAAGTAGTTTGCCATTGGTGGCCTCAGTGGCACAGAGTGCCTTCTACCAGCTTTGGCTAGTGGCCTGGCTACAGCCCTATCCAGAAAGGGAATAGTCTGCTTTCAGTAATCCATGCTCTAGTAGTCTCTAAACCAGGTTACTGAAGTGTTGTCTACATAGGGCTTCCCCTGAAGACTGTTCTGAAGCTGCAGTTTGTGCAAATTGCAACCTCCAGATTAATAACAGGGACCAGAAGTTCCAAACACATAATACTAGTTTTGGTCCACTTGCATTGGCTGCCTACATGTTTCTGAGCCCGATTCTAAGTGCCAGTTTTTATTTATATAGCCTTACATGGCTTGGGACTACAGTGCTTAAACACTCCAGTAAAGATCTGTAGCCTGCCCTTTACTGCCGTCCCTGAGGAGGGCTTGATTGGTGGCAGCAAGGAGACGGGTCTTTTCAGCAGTGGCCCCCGTTATGAAAACCTCTCCCCACTGCGTCCAGGTTAGTGCCATCTCTAATATCTCTTTGGCACCAGGTTAAGACGGTCCTCTATAACAGGACAGGGTATTGGTTTTATATTTTATTGGGGCATAAAATATAAAACTAAACTGCTTAAGAGGTCTGGCAATTTAATTTGTGTAACCTATTGTAGTTTTGTAAATTCAGTTTAGAACTGTGTATTGCATTTTACAGTAGTTTTCTTGTTATTTTGTATTCTATATTGTATTTTATCCTGTTAGGAGAAAGCTGGCCATCTTTCTAACACATGGGCCTGCTGGACTCCCAAGAACTCTGTCCCTTATGCCATAATTTCTTCTGTGATGCATTTCCAGGCCCATTGGAAGATGCAGGGGGATTTAAGTTTGGGCCTTCTGCATCAATATATGTGTTCTAGCACAGGACTGCTGTCCCCCACTTTTTTTAATTACTATGTATTTCCTCTGGGTTGCATCCAAGTACTATACCCTGCTTAGCTTCTAGTATCAGGTATAGAGGTGTGTTGGTCCTGTAGTTGACTCTAGCCGTATATTTTGTATGAACAAGCAATAATATATATGGAAAGGTGAGGGGATTGCATTCTTTAGACTGTGATTCTTCGTGGAAATAATCTGCTTCCATGTTTCAAGCAACTCAGCAAATAAAATACCACCCAGTCCGCTACTCCCCTGTCTTTTAACCTTCTTTTTAATTTCATCCTCTCCCTGCCAAACCCAGAATGAGGATGGCACTTACACAGGTTTCATCAAAGTACACCTGAAACTGCGCCGGCCTGTGACCGTCCCAGCAGGGATCAGGCCACAGTCTATCTATGATGCTCTCAAGGAAGTCAACCTGGCCAACATGACAGAGAAGAGGACCTCATTCTATCTGCCACTGGATGCCATCAAACAGTTGCATATCAGCAGCACTACCACTGTGAGTGAGGTGATCCAGGGACTTCTGAAGAAATTCATGGTGGTTGACAACCCACAGAAATTTGCACTTTTTAAACAGATGCAAAAAGATGGTCAAGGTAAGTTCATGTTTTCTTTTAAGGCAAAAATAACTGTGTTTCTGGGCTGCAGAGAACATTTAGAGGGCCATCTAGCCTGATTTTGGCTGCATTGGCTGGGGCTGATGGGAGTTGCAATCCAGCAACAACTGTAAAGACCATACATTTTTCATACCTGAGCTAACCTATTCATAGCTCAAAGAGCTACTTCATTTCAAACCTGGTGCTGCTACTGTGTATGGCAGCCTTCTCTGACCTCCAGATGTGCTGGGATATTACTCCAGTCAGCTGTTGCCGTGATGCCCAGTGTACATAAGGATAACATCTGTATGCTCCACCTGTGCGTGGAGCTTCCACTACCCCTTCAGCAGAAAAAGCCCACATAACAATAGCAAAGATTTCTATGGAGAAACTATTAGAAAATCTTAATTAGGGGTGGGAAGGCGGGGCATTTTAAAAGGGACACCAACAGCCCACATGGTTGCTTTTTTTTTTTTTTTACACAAATGATACGCTTAGAAAACTTCCTGAATCATAGGTCCAAATCTATCCATAGACTATGGGCCAAATTAGATATTAAAAATGCAGCAAGCAACATTTTAACTTGGTGTAAGCGCAAGGCCCCCAGTCTGGACTCTAGCATGGAGGAGAGGGGGACTTTAATTCCCCCTCTACACTTCAGTTACAATCTGGAATCCCACAACTGGAATTTATAGTGCAAATAGTGGCCTTTGAGCTTATGGTAAGGTCAAAGAGGTCCAAGTTGCTACAAAGTAATATCCACTTTGCCCCCTTGGTAGAACCCTAAATGGAATGAAGACTTTCCTGGAATGAAATAGTTTTCTCAAATTGCAGGCCAACATAGACAGATGTTCACTTAAGTCTAATTTTGCATATTGCATGACCCTAAATGTAGCCATCATGATCCAACAATCAGACATGTTCAGAGATGCGTATTTTGAGGGAACTTCTCTAGAAAAATCCTACCTGTTCATAGACTTTAATCCCTAATATGTTGAAATATGATGCCTTTCCTTAATCCAAGGAATGTTTGACATGCTACTTTGACAGATGTTTGTGGGAGGAAACGCTACTGCTTATGCCCGTGTCTTACCTGTATGCACAATCTTGCCTTATGTGGATACATGTGGGCAAGTACACATAGCAAAGTAATGGGTTGTAAGCATTAAAGACATGAAGAACTGGTGGCCAGTGCATCACACACGAACTGGATCAGGGAGCTAAAAGCTGACATCCTGTTCTTGCTGAGAGATCTTGGTTTAAGTCAGTGTTCCTTCCCCAGGCCAAAATGGCATCAAGCTGTGTTGGGACAAGTTTGGCTCATCTGCAGCTACCAGGGTTGAGACTATGCTCTATATGGCCCCCTAACTCAAAGGCAGGTCATAGGCTTTGCATGCAGAAGGTTTCAGGTCCAGTCTCTGGCAAGCCCAGTAAAAAGGGTATCAGACTGGGGAAGTCCATATCCTTAGGCAGGGGCTAGCCTCGGCTTTATTCTGCTTTAATTCAGCTGTGGCAGTTTCTGTGGGAAGGTGTTTGTGGTGCTTCATTCTTTTGAGTGTGAGGAATATGAATGACTAGTGATTCCTCTCAGTTCGGGAGAATTTAAAATGAATGTTTTAAAAGTGCTGTAGTGGATCAATCCTTTGTTGGCAAGGAAGAACAGATCTAAAATCTTATCTGGAAGTGAATGGCAGAATTTCCTGCCCTGAACAGGTGTTTTCAAGTATAGACAGAAGTGGGGGACTTTTCCTGACAGTGAATTAGCACTCCAAAGGCCTCAGGTGACCCTCTTGTTTTTGTCCTTCTCTAGTTCTTTTGCAGAAGCTCCCAGTAACAGAGTATCCTCTGTACCTTCGACTGCTTGCGGGCCCTGACACGGATATTCTAAGTTTTGTGTTGAAGGAAAACGAAACAGGGGAAGTCGAGGTATGACTGGAAGTTGCTTGGCTTTTGAACCTGCCCAAACATGCTCAACTTTGGGAAACCATGCAGCCACATTAAACAAGCAGTGATTTGCAGCCATGGGGGCCAAACCTAAGTGAGTGGGTGGAAAATGTAATCATCCAGCCCTTATGGTACCATAGCTTGTTACAACAAAAAGTACCAGCTTTCTAAGGCAGGAGGAATATTGAAGCAAAGAAAGGGGCTGCTTTAATCTAGAGCATTTTAGGATTAATTTAATTCCCTTTTGTCACTATTTAAATTTTCCTGTGTTTGGAATTAACTTGTTCCTGTATGGATGGTCTTCAGTTTTGGATAATTAAGGTTTTTGAAGCTTGCTTTTAAAATGTAGCAAAAATAAGGGGCACAATTAATCTTGAGAACATAATTGAGTGCTGTTTTAAAGGTTACTGCTTGTGTTAGTTAGATCATAGACAGAAATTGCTTTTCCCTGTGTGTCCTCAATCCCCACTGCCCATGCTCTGGAAAATAGTTCCACTGTGCTTGGAAATTAAAGGCTTGCTCTAAGAATAGAATTGTAGGGTATTTGCACAAATTCTTGCTTCTGATAATGTGTAAACCATCCAAAAATGCTCAGTTCCCCCCATAGCACATATTTTAATGATTTATTCTGGGATGGGATGTCTGCATTTTTAATCAGTGTTTTTTTTACTTTGCATATTTCTCTGCAGCTAAAATTGCACAAAATATGTAAAATAAGAAAAAACGGTTATTAAGCCTTGCAAACTCTGCACGACCTGGGAAAGCTGGTCCACTGGGAATCTAAGGGGCCAACTCTTAAGAAATCCAGACTCATTTTAGCCCATTGCAGATTTTGCCAATAATCTTACTCAGAAGATGCCCTTACTGAAAGAAACACACCAGTGCACTTTGTACTTCAGACTAGAAAACTAGATTTGGGGTGCTTGTCTTGAGAATATTTTAATTATGACCAATATTTGTATAGCAAGCTTTCTGGATTTCCCTTTAAACTGCTCTTACAAAACAAGTTCCTAAGCCATACTTTCAGTTTAGAAAACTGACCAAAGAGCCCCTGCAAAAATTATGTGAACATACACAGTGAGTTAAATCAAGACTGGCCATTCAGTGGAATCGGCCAAGAGACAGTGAAGGCTATCCTCCAGAGGAAGATGGAAGAGACCGTCTTCTTGCAATTCACTGTGCTAACTCTCAAGCTGATTTCTAGGCACAGGGTTAGAGTTCCTTTGGGGTTGGTGGCTGTCCTCCAGTTATAACTCTAGTTACGATGCATTATTCTCTAGTTACGATGCATTATTCATACAGTTTGAGTTGCAACCATTGAACTGAAGAGTGATGAATAAAAACCTAGGGAAATATATTCTGGAGAACCAATATATACACATACGCTTTCTATGATTGAAAGCAATGTTGGAGAAGGATATAGTGCATGTTTTGTTGGGGGGAGGGGGAGGCTTCTTTTCTTTCCCTGAAGGCTTCAGAGTATGGGGTGAAGTATTATGTAGGATTGAGAAGGACCTGTTATTTGGGGCAGGCTCTGGGATGAATTTAGTTTGCTAGGTTACATCTAATTTTTTTACCCTCACCCACCTGGAGTAATATGCATTTTGTATCTAACAATCTCAAGTATGTGCTTTTCTTTTCTTCCTCAGTGGGATGACTTCTCTATTCCAGAGTTACAGAACTTCCTGGTGATATTAGAAAGAGAAGAAAAAGACAAAATCCAGCAGGTGCAGAAAAAATATGACAAGTTTAAGCAGAGACTGCAGGAAGCCTTGAAAGAAGCAAATATGAAGCCCGGATAACTAATCCAGCAGTACGGCTAATGATAAACTGAAATTTAAATTACATATATAAACCACAAAAAAATTTAAAACCACAAAAACAAAACCCAACCAAGACTTTTTTTCTCAGGACACTTTTTTTATTGGTTGCAGTCCAAGGTATGATTAGAACTGGTTATTACTGTATGGGGAACTGATCTCCCAGTCCACTGCCCCTCCAAAACCCAAAAAGAAATGCTGCCTCTCCATCCGGCATGATCCTCCTGAATGCCACCAACCAGGGAACTGTTGGCAGTACTGAATGTCCAAGGAACTGTGTTGCTTAAAGTATACTTATTAAGAGAGACAGTTGGCCATCTCCCTTCTCCTGCCATCCCAGTACCTCACCTGCTCGACCTCTATGTGCTTGTATGTACGCATGTGAGTGCGTGCATGTTTGTACAGCAGAAGTGTGATGAATGTGCTCCCTATCACACAACCTGTTGGAAGTCCCACATCAGTAAGCGGAGGATTGCTTTGTTCTGGGCAGACACCATACAAGACGTCAAAGAGGCTGTTGCGTGATGTGAACAAACCAGATGCCAAGAATGCTGTTAAATATAGCAGGTCTTGTGAGGAGCTTTTGAGCATTTTTTTATTTTGAGCAAGAGTTCTGTCTTTTCTCAGGGGGAAAGTTGGCTTTGTTGCTGCTGCTGCTGTTGTGTTCTGGTAACTCAGGAGGGTTGTTGTCCTGGGCCTAATATTTCCAGCATAGCCCCACTTTTTGGACAGTTTCTTTCCATGCTGTAAGTCATGGCCTTCTCCATCTGGCATCCTCTAGATGTGTTGGACTGCAACTCCCATAATGCCCAGCAGGCATGGCCACATCTGGAAGGTGTGCGCGACATTGGGGAAGGCTGCCAGAAGCACTGGAACCAGGGTTGAGTGGTGAGCTGTCTTTGGCACTTGTCCCTTAAGCACTAAACGTTAAAAAGTCAGTCACTCTTTGGTCTGAGACGTATGCCAAGACCCCAAGGGGGAAGAGTAATCTTGGGCCATTCCTGTTTTTGGCACATGTGCACCAAATATGAGCCTCAAACCTGCAGCTACTGTTTAGTTCTATGGGTTCCTTCCTGCTGTTGAGTTTTTAACCTGCTGGCTACACACACAGATTTGAAAGTGGTTGCAAGGTGCACCCTTTTTGTCTAAATTCCACAATGGCAAGGTTCGCCTTACATGAGTAAGTTCTGAGCTGCTTCTCTTCGTAGTGAAGTGACTGGACACCTGGGCAAGTCATGAATTGTAAGAAGGCTTCTAGCATGCCTCCTCTGTCTTTGGTAGTGATATGAGAATTGGTAGTGATATGAGATATGAGACACTGGAGAATTAAGAAGTAGTATGTGACAATAGAGTTGGTATGATGAGAAATGGGCAGAGGAACTCTGGTGTCCAACTGTGCAGGTAATTATTTTGATCTCTGGTTGTCCTGGACAGAATTCGTTGCTTGTAAAGCTAGTCACCTTAACTTGGGAGAAGACTTAGGTGACCTGTAGGAATAGCTGCAGCTGCTATATGAGAACTGCTTTTCTGTGAGCAGATTCCATGCAGCTGGAGTGGAGAAGGACTCGGTGGGAGAGAGTGCTGCTTCTGGGCCTGCACAGGATGCAGACCTGTAGCTGCACTGTGGATACACCTGAAGACTGCACCTGATGTTTCCAAGAAAGTGGATACATCTTGCAAGCAAGAATAGTAGAACAGGAGACAATCTTATTTGCCTGCTTATCTAGAACTAAGCTGGTGGCTGTGCGAGACAAAGGAATGGGTCTCTTTTTCCTGCTACCCCATTCCCCCTCTGAGTATATTTCAATATGAGCTTTTCTTAACAAACTAGATTTGAGGTATTTCTCCTTGGTGAGCTACCAGTGCATTCACCCGGAGAAGTTGTGTTGGCACCAGCTGTGCCCTTGCCTAGGCAAACCCAAGGCAAAAATGAAAGACCCTCAACCAGTGGTGGGTGGGCAGCATGTAGCCTACAAGTGGTCCTTGACTAAGATGAGAAGGATGACCTTTTCCCTTCCATGCATTTGGTAAGCTACTTTTGGTCATTTGCCTGGACACTGTTCGTTTTGTAAGATAAGAGGGCCAAAGTCAATCTTTTTCAGTATCTGTATGGCCTAGCTTGATGTTGCTTTCGGGTATCTGCAAAAAATATTATGCTTGGGCAGGCAGGTACCCAAAAGACCACTCTTCTTCTCTAGCAGAACAGGGTTGCAGCTATACATCTGCAATGGAAAGGGCTGAAAAGTGCCATTAGTACAGCATAAGGAAAGCAAGAAGCCCATAAGACTAGAACCCAGAGGAGAAGGCAATCAAACCCTTCCTAATAACTGCAGAAATTGTTGGCCAAGCACACAGAGAGGGGATGCTTCCGGAGGTGCCACTATCAAGAGACATACAAGACCTAAAGACAATTTTGTTCAGTCATTGACATTGTCCTAAGAATGTTACATATTTCCTTTCATTGAGGTGGGATGGGGGAAATGGCTTTTTGATAACTGGCACTCTTGCTCCTCCTGCTGTCCCTGGCATGTCTTGAACATTTTTATAGAAGGCATGGCTTTTTATGCAATGTATATGAATGCTGCTTACTCAACCTGCTGCAAAATAGGTGGGTGTTGTTTTTCTTTAAAAGATTATATTGCTATGGGGCATTAAGAAAAGGAGAAAATCCTATGAAGCTCAGATTGTGAGAAGAAACTGAGCCACTTGGTCTGTAGCAGAGCAGAAGCCTTAGACAGGAGGCAGCAAAGGCCCCAACTTAAGTTATGCAGATGACTGCTGGCAGTGCCTTTGTTTAGTATGTTGTGTTGCCTGCATCTGTATGCGTGTTACTTTTTTTCTCTTTAATGGTCAATTGTAAACATGTACAATCTGTATAGAATGGAATTAGTGAACAAAAGCTTATGTGGTAAATACATTTTTGCAACGCTGTAATTTATTTTTACTACTGTTTCAACCCTATGACCTTATTTTGAGGAAGTCACCTTCCAGCTTTTTTGAAGCACCTGACCAATGTGTTCATGCGATACAAACTGTGTAAGAAGTTATTAAAAATAAAAATAATAATAGAAAAGTTATTTCAAGAACTTTGTTCCTGTTGACTTCTTGTGGTACTCACCAGTATTCTGTTTATGCAGGCAGAGGAACTACTTCAAGGCTAAACAACTATTTTTTTTTTTTTTAGCAGAGGTAATACTTGTCAGCTGAGCAAGTGCTGAAACACTCGCCCGATTGATTTTACAAACTGCCTCAGTCTCAGTTCAGCTGGCGAGCTCCCTCTGCCCCAGCGTGAATTTGGAAGAGTCTTTATCTTCATTTTATGTTTATTTAATAACGTGTTCCTCTGTTAATGCATGTGAAAGAATAACTTAGAGGGGCACAGTGTAGAAAGAGACTGCCAAAACTCCAATTGATATTGCAGTAAAAGGGCTAAAGATGCACCTTCTTTTAAGTTGAAATGCAAGCAAAGGCCTAAGGCATGTAACTGCATGACAGGACATTCAAGCCTATTCAGGGCTCTTATTTACGTATTTCTTTCACACACATAGTCCCTCTAGTTTTCCTTAGCAACAACAGCAGGAATCAGTATAGAAAAGAATGAGTTGGCAATAACATGTACATCTAAAAAGGCTCTTAGGCCATAGGTTGCCCACCTCTGTACTACAGATTTATCAGAGAGAACTAACCAAGCCTGTACTAGAGATCTACTACTCCCTTCTGAGTACGCCTAGGTCTGTATTGTGTTTTACCTTGGGAGAAAAGAGTGCTGGAGTGGGGTTGCACGAGCTACGTTTGCAACCCGACATGCAGACTTCAGGGGCTGGATATCTCCATCCATTGTTCCAGTGGTCTATCCTTTGTCTATAGGATGTGCCATGCTTCTACTCTGATAACAGGAGTTCTTTAAAAGAAAAATCAACCACTGAATTATCTGAAGTCAACATAATATGACTGGTCTGTTTTAATTTAAACAAATACACGCTGTGTTACAAATATGAGTCCCCCAATAAGTTATATAAAAAGCTCTGCAAAATATCTGCAAAAAGGATTTTTTATTTTATCTTTTAAATAAAAACCACCATATAGCTAAGGCAATTGGATTACTCATTCCCATTGAATAAAAGATTCATACAGAGCTCTGAATTTGATCTTCAGCCATAGCTACTTCTTTCGGCCCATCTTTGGTGCCTTTCCAAGGCCCTGGATGTATTTGCGAGGTATATGGTAGTCCTCTGCAACACAATAAGTTCAGAACAAGTAATCTGGTGCTTGGCAATTAGGGCATTTTAAAACAAAAAACACAATCATAGATTATCCTAGCATGCTATATAAAGGCTAATTAAAGCTGCTCAGCCTGTTTTTTGTTGTAAATGGACTCCTATGCATCTAAGTTCAATGGAACTTACTCCCAAGTTAGTGGCCATGGGAGCTGCTAAATCTTATGAGTCTTCATTAATCAATTAAAGCTGCACATAAATAATATAAAGGCTCAAAAATATATTTTCCAGGAAGCAGTTGTGTTAGTCTACTGTAACAAAAACCATGGAGGCTTATGGCACCTTAAAGACACATTTATTCTGGCATTAGCTTTCATGGACTATAGACCCAAAACAAAGGCATTTTTTATTTGCAGATGATGCATGCATATTTTGCAACAGTCACTCTATCCTGCCTGAGGGGGAGGACTATTTCTATGACTGGACCTGCTACCTCTAGTTTTGTAAGTGACTCTACTAAAAATAACATTTTTCAAAACTGCCAATTTAATCGGGGATATTTTAATTGATTAGAAAGTTCTGAGAACTGAGGAAGGCTGCAGCCCTATAAGCCATCAGCTGGCCTTTGGACTGTAGTCAAAGATTTTGCAGAACTAGTAGCTCACACACTCCTTAGGATTGTTCTGCCCAAATGCGATCCTATGCAAACCTACCTAGGAATAAGTTCCACTGAATTCAACAGGACTGATGGCTGCATAGTTCTGTACTGGACTATGCTATTAATCTGACTCTTTAAGGGCACAAAACCATGGCCTTCTGAGAATAATCTGGGGGCCCACGGGATTCGGCAGAGTCCCAGCACTGAGGTCAAGTCCCCAGCCCAGCCCACTCACAAACATGGCTGAGAGAGAGGGGGTGGGATTTTTGTTGGAAAAGCTCAGGAGGGGAGAAGCCTGTGAGGTAGACTTGGACTGATTCCTTTTGGCATCTTGGCTTTTTTCTCCCCCTCACCCCAGGACAACTGAAAATGGCCATCCATATAAATGCACCACCATCATGCCTTGTTCTGGCCACTGGGTGCTCGGCAAGTATCTAAATTCAGAAACTTGTGTGCATTGAGGGGGGTTGGCAGTGGACAGAACATGAAACCCTCATTTCCTAAGAAATGCTATGGTGAGCTTGCGGTAGATACCTACCTAGCAGCAACTTAGCAAGATGGTGGATCTGATTGCCTTGTATCTGGACCTGAGTTCTGTCCTTTGTTCCTGGGAGAGCAGTGATGGTGGCACCAGCCTGGACTTTTTGCTGAAGAGTATTGGCAATAGCCTGTGGGTCCAGACCATACAGCTCAAGATTCTTGATTATTGTTACCTAAACGCCCCAAGAGAAGGGATTATACAGTGCATTATGACATGTTAACAATATAATTTTTCTGATAGTTTTACTTAAACGTTTTCTTCATTCATTTGATCTAATAGCATCAGAAAGGTTGTGTTTATAGGCCCCTTGTGTCTGATCCACTATAATTAAGGAAAAAACCAGAGGCAGGGGTTTTTAAGTCCAGGAATGTACATTTGTGTTGACACAGTATGATACTCCAGGTACTGCGTTCGCTATGGTGAGAATTCCTGTTTTGACAGTTATGACCAGGCTTCAAAGAGCTAGGGTAATGGTCTCAGTCTGTTGGGCAATCTTTCTCCTCTCGGTTACAAGGAAGGCAGCCTGCACCACAAAGAGTGTTTTTCAGGGACAAACCTGCAGATAATAGTATTGTAACACAGGAAACATTTGGCCAAGCAAATTTCAGAAAAAAATAACAAACACTTTGCTGAATTGTAGACTCTTGGGTAGTGTAATATGGCTCTGCTCAGAAAATGCACTCTTGTTCTTACCTTTTTATTGGACGATCTCTGCGCTATGGTTATATTAATGGGGGCAATGTTTCCTTTCCTCACAATAGGTTCACGTCCAAAATAAATCACCTGATGAAAGGGCTGTAGTTGGTCCAGACACCTGCCAGAAAGGTGATACTAAGATTTAAGTGTATCCAGAGCAGACTTAAGCATCTCTGACTTAGCCAGTCATGCACTATACTACCAAGTGGGATACCACACGGCTCAGTCCTGGTCCCAGCACTCTTCAACATTTTTATTAATGTCTTGATGAAATGGTGCAGGGAATGCTGATCAAATTTGCACCTGACACAAAATTGGGTGGGATATCTAATACCATGGCAGACAGATACAAGATTCAAGGTGATCGCGAAAGGCTGGAGCACTGAAAGCAACAACATGCAATTCAGTAGGGACAAATGCCAAGTTCTGCACCTAAGAAAAGGGAACCAAATTTGCAGTTACCAGATGGGAAGTCCTGGCTCACCAATACCACAAGCAAAAAAGGATCTTGGAATTATAATAGATAATTCATAGATCACAGGTTGAATATGAATCAACAGTTTGATGCAGCTGCAAAAAATGGGTAGTGCTATATTGGACTGCATTAAAAGAAGTATACAGTATACCCGTGTGAAGTCGTGGTTCAGCGTCCGCAGCTCAGTCTTTCGTGGAATTTTCCATGCAGTGGCAAGCAGCCTCACAAGATCGGTTTGGACTCGCTCGGAGAAAACGATCTCTGCATGAGCGCGCCCGCCCCCAACCCGGCCCACGCCCCCCACCTGCACCACTGGAGGCATTTGAGAGGCAGTTGGACAGCCATCTGTCAGGGATGCTTTAATTTGGAGTCCTGCATTGAACAGGCGGTTGAACTCAATGACGTTATAGGCCCCTTCCAACTCTGATTCTACAATAACATTTGTAGAATTGATCCAGAAGCAGCTTGGCTCTACCCACCTTAGTTGACAAGACGTATTCAGGCCAACATTTCACACCCTAGTGCCTTCCAGACATTTTTAACATCAACTTCCATCAGCCCTAGCCAACAGGGCCAATAATCAATAATGCTGGGAGTCGTAATCCAAAAACATCTGGAGAACACCAGGCTGGAGAAGATGTGTGCAGGCCATCTTCTGGAGGGCAACAGAACAATAGCTGAGGAATTCTATCTATCTTATGAGGCTACCTCATAAACAGGAGCATCCCAAGAAAAGTTTTATTTCTCACTTGAACTATTACTTGATGATTGTGTATTATATAAAAGAAGACAGCCAAACCCTCCTGCCAGTGGCAGCCTTAGTGGAATCCAGATTAAAGTTGCAAAAGCTAAAAGCTATGCAACAGAGCATCTGGCGCCAAGCCTGATTTTTTCTGAATGGTCCGAGCCTTGCATGTATTAGAAAGCATCTCAGATTTCCCACATGTTGAGGTTAATTCATAAAACCAGAATATATAGAGGAGTACGAAGAGAGGCATTTTTGAGCATGGCCTGTATTACGCAAGATATTCAGGAAAGTATGTGAAGCAGCAGTTAAGAACTGTTCACCTGCTCATGAGGTCTTCCCATCGGAGCTTTGCGATTTCATCTTGCTCTGATTTGTTCAGCAAGCAGTCACAGAGGAGAGGATTCACCTTTACAAAGCTGTAATCAAAGAACCCCAATTAAAAAGAAGTGTGATCTTACTACTATCTGCTCAACAAACTGGAAATGCAGCGTCAAGACTGTCTAAAAGTCTAATGTTCTCAGACACTATTTGCCTCTTTAGTACTGCTGAAAACTGCACAGGATTTCTACAGCTCTTGTGTAATTACATGGTCAGCTTGGTGCTAGAACCATACTTGACAGCTTACAATGTATGAGAGCTATTTCAAATAGTCAAGGAAAAAGCCTTTTTGGTTTTTGATGATGCATGGAAAGGGCCACAGCTCAGTGATACAGCACATGTCTGGCATGCAGAAGATGACAGGCATCATGCCCAGCATCTCCAGGTAAGGCTAGAGAAACCCCTGCCTAAAACCCTGGAGAGCTCCTGTCAAGTCAATGTCAACAACACCGGGTTAGATGAACCAATAGTCTGATTCAGTACTAGGCAACTTCCCATGTTCCTAGCCTGGAAGAGGTATTTCCAATTTCCTCAAAAGGCACAGAATATCTCTTTTAGCCATCTGCTCCTCTTATATGCACATGTATTAAAAGTAATTGCAAATGTTTAAAAATCTAATCTGATAAATCAAGGCACCATTTTTTCATGATTAATAATCAGAAATGTTGCAGACCTAATTAAAATTCATTTGAGTAGTAAATGGAGATTCCTTTAAATTGAGCAAGCAGCCCTAAACATTTTGAAAAAGTGGTATAGTTTTAAAACGTACTGATTCAATCATGCACAGGTACATCTGCACAAGTTTTATGGGTGTACACACCAAGCAGTGGTAGATACATATTCAAGCAGTCCACACAGCACCAAAACCTGAATGTGCATTCACTCCCTACTATAATGCAGTTGGAAATAAAAGAGTGGCCAGAACAGATCATACAGCGTGAATGACTGAGTATTCAGACTTGGCATTTGGTGAGTTATATGAGAAAATAGTGCTCTTCCTTCTAGCAGCAATCCTGCCCCCTAGTTAGAAGTGCCTTGCCGAGAACACAAGATGCTAAGAGTGCAAAATCAACTGCTGCATTCTCTGTAAGCTACCAGAATAGACCAATGGGGTTGGTGGCCCTTTATCTCTGTCCCAAGAAGCTTTGCTTCTAACATACTTTTTGTCTGTTTCATCAACCAATTCATTAATCTTCACAAAGTTGATGACCGCGTCTCTCACTTCACTGCTGGACAAGGTGTCGCCTTTCCTGTAGGAAAATGTAAACTTTGTTACTTGCTTCATTATGCTTTGGAAGCAAGACCAATTATTCAGCCCTTGCAAGATGGAGACTGCAGAAACACTGTGCTTGAAAGAAGAATGCTTAATGTTTTCTTCATTCAAATTTTAAGTGTGAGAACCAAACTCTTGAATTTGGCACCTAGGAACATTAATGTTTTCTAATTTTTGTCCTGGCAGGCTATTCTTCCAAAATGCTACACACTTTCACTGGCAAACCTCAGCTGTGGAGAAGTGTCTCTTGTTGAAGCATCTGCCTATTCACTCTGGAGTCTGATATACACACACTCACACAGCCCTCACCCTACTTTTGGAAACACTTGACTGTCTCATTCTCTCCAAATGTCCTTTACCCATCATGTCAGGCAAGATGTAAAGGAACGTTTAATAACATCACAGGCAGCTCAAGTGGTTGGTTTCCTTACTTGTATCCAGAGTCTTGGAACATGGGAGCCATTTTGGGAGAGACACCATAAAGTGGTATGATTTCTGGAGAGCGGTATGGCTGTTCTCCATCATCACCTTTACTATTTTCAGCAGGCAATTCAGAGGCTGCTGTTTCAGGTACTATGAAGGATCTGATGCTGAAATGCAAAGAAGATCAGCTACGTTAGCAGGAAACACTATCAGGACTTTGTGGTTCATAGTTCAGCTTATTAGCCACTGAACTACACTATTTGACACATAGATCATTTCACAAAAAGAAGAAAAGGTGAAGTGGGTGCTTTCTTATTTGCATAATTTTACACCCAAGTTTTTCCATTGGCTCGACAAAGACCCAAATACATGACCATTTTAGGCTCATTCAAATAACTCATTTGAGGAATCAGGAGAGCATCAGAGGGTCGCTCAGTCCCACATCATCTATCTACTTGGTTGCCAGCAACTGGGGCTGGTTTTGCTTTTGCTGCAGACATGCCTAGCTTCCTACATTCAACAAATGGTTTCACAATTACTGCTATTGTGGAACTATCACCATCTGGATTATCATAAAGTGTGCTTAGAAGAAAGGGCCAGTACCAGTGGGGCGAATGGCTAGAATGCTGGATTGAGGCTTGGGAGATCCAGGTTCCAGCTGACACTCAGACATGAAACTCACTTGGTTTCTTTGGGGTAGTTACAGACACTCATCCTAGCCTATCTCACAGGGTTGTTGCTGTGAGGATAAAGAGGAGAAGGATAAGAGAAGAACCACCTTGTACAACACCTTGGGTTCCTTGCAAGAGGAAGAAAGGCAGGGCATCAATGTAATAATAATATTTCAATGAAGTGTGCAGGTCCTCCATTGCCATGGCAGACAAGGGAAGCAGCTCAGTCAACAGCCTCACCTGCTTGGAACATGCTCTGCAATTAGCTGTGCCTTTGACACATGCCAAGCCCCATTCTAGTCAGGCAAATGAACCCACTGAAAACTTTAATTCATTTTGAGAGTTCTTAAAATGGTCATGTTTTAGGAATGAGTTTGGATTATCTGAATTGGTTTGGATTATGATAATTTGGATTATCTGAAAAAATTACTTTTGCTATCCCTACAAAGTTAAACACTTTGTGTGTTAAAAAGTTGTGGATTTTGTTTCTTCCCTCTGCACATCATATAATTCTATATTGTGCAAAACCTCAGGCTCACTTGCAAAAACAAAGTTCCAATCAGAAAAAAACTTCACCCTATTATTCTGCACAGTCTTAACACCAGATCGTAAAGCTATGTGACATACCTGGGTTAGGGAGCCTACTCTTTCCAAGGGATGGGTCATTCATACCTTGGGTCCAGGTTTCTTGGGCTGTCCTATGCTCCCACCTCACTCTACTCCACTAGGCTTTTGGCATGAAGATGCAAGAAAGTTCCAATTAACAAGGAAGGAAATGAAAGGCTCAACCACAACCTTCCCAGCAGCAAAGGAAGATGCAGAAACAAACAGAGCTAAGACCGAGAGCTTTCTTACTCGTACATTTGTAGTAATAGGAACAAGGGATTTTACAAGGACCTATCATTACCATGAAGGTTCCAGGATTTTTTATTGTTCTAGGAAAAGAAAGATCCCTCCCTCACCCCATACACTCTCATCTACAAACAAGCACAACAGAGTAAATCACAAACTACTCAAGGACAAGGGGACTGGAAGAGAAAAGTACTAAAAAGAGTACCTCTCAGCATTCCTAGAATTATTCTATAGTAAAGGAAACCAGGAGCTCCTTAGACCTGATTCCAGTAAAGTCAAGCTCTGGAGGTAGGGTGAAGAAAAGTTTCATCCACAGTCATGGATGCCATCTCTAGCTAAGCTCATATGCAGGCATAATCTAAATGTCTCCCTGTCGTACATGCCTATACAAGCTGTCAGCCTCCCTGACATCACAAGTGGCCATTGTGACAGGGTGCTGGCTGTTCTCACAGATTACTGCAGGAGCCCTTGCCATCACATCTATGAAGGTGAAGCACAAATAAGACCTTTTAAAAGTTACTGTAAGATGCTAACTCCATAATGCTATGCATGTATGACATCATAGATGGGTGGTGATGGGGACAGTGTAGAACCCTGCAAAGAACACGACGCACAACAGAGCAGAATCAAGGAGCCAACCCCCATGGTCCCCGAGGAGAAAGGAGAAGAGGGGCTGCAGTGCTTCTTCATCACCAATCCTTCAACACTTTTAGCGGAAGTGGGAGGAAGACTTGCGAAACGAGCATGGGCAGCAGTAGGGAGAGATGACAGGTAAGCACGCCTGCTTCCAACTCTTACAGGGAGATAGTGTGATGCCAGTGTGGCCAGAGAGCCAGTGTGGCATAATGGTTAAGCGCATGGGACTGGGACTCCGATGATCTGGGTTCTAGTCCCCACTCAGCCATGGAGCCAACTGGGTGACTTTGGGCCAGTCACAGACTCTCAGAACAACCTACCTCACAGGGTTGTTGTTGTGGGGATAAGATGGAGGAGGAGATGTAAGCTGCCTTGAGCCCTTTGTAGGAAAAAGGCAGGATATAAATTGAAAAATAAATAAATAGTAGGGCTTGCATATGGAGATGTATAGGGTAGGGAGAAGATAAAGCTAAAAGTGTCTGAAAGCCATACCAGTCTCCTGAAGGGTCTATCTGTTCACTTCCTCTTCTAAATCATCATTCTTCTACACCTTTCTCTGCTGTTAATACTCCAGCATCTACAGTTTCCCTGATAACAGCATGCAGTGGTATGGTAATGAGTAGATTAAATAAGTCCACATCCGAAATAGGTAATGGTACTTATACACGGCAGTTATCCAATAGCAGCATTTCACAAACTCAAAACTGCTAACAGATGTCCACCTAATCTTTCTGTTTTCCAAGTACTTGCGCATTATACTTGCACAACCATTTGTGCAACCTGGTTGAAGTCTCCTTTTGTGCATAGTTTGGAACCAAGTTTCTGCTAGCACAACATAATTTGCACTAATGAAAAGGTAACAGTTGCATATTGTAATGCATGCCTATTTACTGCTGCAGTCAAAAGTACTGGATATAGTAAATTACTCACACCCAGAGTAAATTACTCATACACAGAGTGTCTAGAGCAGAGATAGGAACATATGACTAAGGATCCTGCCCATTATCACTTCAAGAGAATTGTGGGAAAGCAGAATGTAAAGTGAATTAATTTTTGTTGTAGTAGTTAGTATTCTCTTTATACCCATTGAAAGATACTAGCTCTAAAGGTTTTGAAATCTTTTAAATGGTTGGCATAATAAAGGTCCATAATATTCAGGGTAGCTAATATTTAATTGATATCCACAAAGCCTAGTGATAAACAGAAGGCAATTTAAAAATGGTATATATTTTGGTTAGCTTACTCTCGATTTAAGATAATGTTGGTGATGCAGATAAAAAGGAATAACTAATAACAAACAGCAATGAGAAGCTACATTATAGAAGGAAATTGATCAGGACTGCAAAAGCCTGGTTTTGAAAATCCTTTCATGCCTTTAGAAACTGAAAATCGGCAAGGTTTCAATCAGGCAAAAGCAACCCTCACTAAACATTGCTTTTAACAACGAAACAACACAACAGATACAAGATCCTGCTCCCCCTTCCATTCTAGTTTGGTGGGGGAGGGGGAGAGAGAGAGAAATGTAGAAGAATTGAGCAATGTAAAACATTAACAAAACTTTTTTGGGTAAGAGGTACCTAAATAGTAGCAACAGACTTTAAAAATAGAGTAATATTATTTTCCTTTTGGAAAAAAAACCTATGCAGCAGCAGAGCACTCTGTGGGGGAGTTTGCATGACATAAAAGTCCACCATGGATTCATTTCTTCTTGAAGAGCTGCAGTGTGTGCCAGCTGCCATTACGAATATGCAAACCTCAGTCGGGTTGCTATGGCTAAGCAGGAAAACCAGGCCAGCTGTGGTTATCTGAGAGTTAAACCACAGGAGTTGTAACAGTTGTTTAACCCTCAGATAAACACCACTAGGTGGGTTAATAGGATATAGCTAAGGCAACCCCAATGGGGTGCATATTCGTAATGGCAACTGACATGCATCACAGCTTCTCACGGGTAAATTAATCTACAATGAACTGCTGTGTTGTGTGAACCAGATCTACCCATGGAATTGCCAGGAAAAATGGCTGCTTTTAAATAACTCGTGCATACAACAGGACAGCTGTTTTAAAATCTGCATTTAGTGCAATGCAACTTTGTAAACAAATGTGTTAAACAGTTTAGAAATGGTGATTCCATACCTAGTTTGGGTCACTAACGCAAGTCAGTATTACTGCTGATGCCAAGTAGCGATTTCCAATGTGAGCCGTTGATGCAACAAAAGGTAAAGTACTGATTTAGCTCCCATTGGAAAGTAATACTTGTATAAGTATTATAAGTAATACTTATAAATAAATTTTATGGGCTCCACATTATAGAAGAGACATAGTTAGGTTAGAATTAGTCCAGTGTAGGACCACAAGAATGCTAGCCGGGTTGGGAGGGATGACATGAAGAGAGATTGAGGGAACTGGCTCTATTCAACCTGGAGAAGAGGAGACTCTGAGGGGATCTTTTAGCAACTTATAGGTATGTGAAGGGATGACATGTGGAGGAGGGCCATGACCTATTCTTCCCTGCAGTGGAGGACAGGACATGTTCCAATGGAGCAAAGCTCAGGGAACCAGGCTGCAAGTTGGATGTTAGGAAGTACTTCCTGACAGTCAGGACCCCTAGGATATGGAATGGGCTTCCAAGGGAGGTGGTTGAGGCACCATAAGAGAGGGTGTTCAAGGAAAGATTGGACAAGCACATGTTGAGGATTACATGACTGGAGCTGGGGGTCAGACTAGATGGCCGGGAGACCCCTTCTGACTCTCTCTGTTTCTATGTAAACAGAATACTTGACTTGCTCATAGCTCTCAATAAAGAAATCCTCTCTCATTAATACAGAACTTAAGACCTATAAATAATCAAAACTAAAAACAATAGGAACCTAAAGTAAACTAAAGCATTAGAATGCAGTCCCAGTATCCACTATTATTATCTCCATTATATGGTGCATGTTCAGATAGAAAAGACATGTTTAAACATATTTGGACATGTTAGTGTAACTTAAAACAAAAAAGTACTGAAATCATTAGAGTTGTACAGGACTGCACCCTCAATGTGCTTGAAGTTTTTGCTCAATGAATTGACAGTACAACTTGCCATCAATTACACAGAGATGTAATTGTGCACAGCACACACATGCAAGCACACACAATCTTCTTGTTTTAAGCCTGCTGTTTGTGGTAACTGATAAACTGTTTGATGAGTATGCATTTATTTTTATCAAATCATCAGTGATTTTACATATTAAATTCTCTTCCTCGCTTTCTCCTCACCACATACCCATCCACTAGATCTTAAAGTAGGGGTCTTGCTTTAAACTTGGATTTTATAAAGGAGGATTTACAGCTGTACATCCAGCATACTCAGTAGGGCAGCTTCTCTTGTTTAAAATTTCATTTCTTCTCCTAAAGTTAATACCTACAGTCCTTCTCTGGGTGCCTACTAAGGAGAGGGCCTTTTCAGTTGTAGCACCCTGGTTCTGAAATGACCTTCCTGGAGAGGCTCACCTGATGCCTATTTTTTAATATTTTCTCCCAAGTAGTATGACTTTGAACGTAAGGGTGACTGTATTATGGCTATCCAGCAGGTAGTTCAGCCTTTCCCATTCCTGCCACTGGCCAGGCAGGATATGAAATCAAAAATATCTTGAGGGTATCAGGTTGGAAAAGGGACTCAGTGGTAGATCATATGGTGATCAAAATGTCCAGGTTCAATCCCTGACTTTCCACATAGATTCAAATGAATGTATGAATAAGCATGGACTGAGATGACAAAAGGCAACATTTCTGCTTATTACTTTGTTCTTAAATGCAGCTCAGTTCATTCAAGAGTATTACATCATTCCAAACAAAACACACCCTTCAATCCATTCTCAGCTCCACTATGAAAACCATCCATTTAGAGCTTCTGCCCCTCAATTTTGACTTTGGCTAGAACGGGTGCAGGATATTACCTTTCATGTCGCCAGTCGACATCCACAATGCTCTCCACCCCCTTACTCAGCTCTTTCACCTGGATGATCTTCTGCTTCTGCATTGACTGCAGGAATTTGGAGAACTAAGAGAGAAAGGCAGTTAGAACCTCGATGTTGGGACAAATGTGTGTGTGCCAGCTGGCTGCTTGCTGCAAAAAGGAGACAAAGCCAGGCCTTTCAGAGCTTCCATCACTGACTGGGGACAGAAGAGGAAGAAAATGAGAGTCCCTGATCTTTGTAGTGCAGGTAGAGCCTTGGTGGAGGTACAGATTCTAATATTATCATGAGCTTGCATAGGATGTCCGTTGCAGTGAGTGGGGAGGTGAAGTGGCTCCCCTACTGTTTTGAGGATGGCCTGCCTGACAGGGATGTAGCAGGCAGAGAGGTGAGAAGCAGGCAGACAGCAATCTACACAATCTTATCAGCATTACATAATTCCATTTCTCAACCTTTCCATGGCTCAGAAAAACCAACTCACCTTTTTGTAGCTAGATTTCTTTATGTCTAGTTGTTGACCTTTTGGACTAGTGGTAAATTAAAGGAGAGAACAATTACATACAAGAAATAGCAGAAATCAAGCCTAAAGATCTCTCATTAATGGCTACACTTTAAAAAGAGGCTTCCCTCTATCTACCCCAACCTCTCATGTTAAAATTTTCTGAAAACATTAACATACTGAGATTGAGAATATAGAGTTTAAATTCCATATAAAGCTGGGGAGGGAAACTTGTGGCCCTCCAAATGTTTTGACCTATGACTCCCATTAGCCCTAGCTAACATAGCCAGTGGTGAGGGATGATGGGAACTGTAGACCAACACATCTGGAGGGCTTTGATCTGCAGAAAAAGCCAGTCTGCTGTAGACTCTGCAGTCAAATTTGTAGAAATATGAACTCATGTGAATCCATTGCAGATTTCCATGACATCCCTATGTTATTGCAACATTGTGTTCATTGAATTACTTTTTCAATGAATGCCAGTTGATCTTTCCAGCCATTGTAAAAAGATCCCAATGGACCAAGAGCCATGAATTTTTGGCCACAAACAAGTAGAAAGTTTAGGGACTATATTCTAATGAAAGAAGAGTTTGGAAACCTTTGCTTTCCAATGGGACAATGAATGTTCCTATAGAAATCGTGCTTTCTTCCCAATTAAATGCTGATGCAGGAAACAAAGTAGCATTTTTACCTTTGGCAGCAAAAAAAATGAGATAGCAAGATAAAACTGTAACAAATAGCCATGGAGAAACAGCTCTGGGCTGAGCTAAAGTTGTTTGATGCCTTTGTAAAATTCTTTATACGATGCTGGGTTTTGAAATATCAGCTTTGGATTAGTATATTAATTTGTTGCAATATATTTGTTTTGCCCTTTAATTTGATGAATTCAGTTTTGAAGAACTAAATTATACTGAAATGTGAAGCACAATAGATTTAGATAAAAATCAAGAAGTCCAAGCATAAGCAAACTTCAGCAGCAAACTTGCATCTGGCTTGTGTAACATTGTTCTTGTTAAACCTACCAGCATGAGAACATGTAATTACGCAGAAAGGTGCTGGCCAGCAGAGGGAGCTCTGTCTTCTTCACTTTACATTTTAAGGCATGGAAGAAGCATTGATTAAGCAACACATCCATTTGCTCTGTAAGAAAAAGACAGAACAATTTGCTCCCTATTAACCTCTGCACAGAACACAACATTAGCCAGTTCACAACATATCATTCATGCAGAGTGACCCTCTCTGCTTCTGCCTCTGAGTTGTATCTAGGTTAAAAAAGGGAAAAGGGTTTCACAGTTCAGAGCACAATTGCAAACTATGTACTTGCACAATGACTCATGCAATAGCTTATGCCTTGCTTTTAGCCACGGTAATACAGGCAAACAGAACTGAAAATGAACTGAGAAGAATGCAAAGGGCAAGCATAATACCAGTAACATTGCACTACAGAAAGACAGTGATCACACTGGAAACTTAATAAAAGTATTCTTCATGTTTAGGAAGTTAGTGGGCATACTGTATGTAATCTATTATGCATATTAGAAATGTTTTCCTCCTGTTGTTAAAACACCATACATAGTACAAAATGACATTTTCTTCCTGGTCTTGGTGCATCACACATGGCCAATTCTAAAATCTAGGATTGGGTAGAGGCCCCCATCCTTCTTTAGTACCATAAAGTACTGGGAGTAGAACCAGTGCCAAAGGTCAGGTGGAAGAATGGGCTATACAGTCCCCTTTGAAAATAGTGTAGCAACTTCCACTGTTAGGACAGAAGGATAGTGACATGAACAGAACAAAGAGAAAACTGTTTCAAATTTGATTTGGTATCTTCTCTCCTCAATGGAGAGGATCCACCTATCCAATGTTATGGCTTTCCACGTGGGAAGAAAAGTAGAGATGTCAATCAAACCAGACAGGAGAAGGCTTATCAGTTGAGCTAGAGTTGATTCTAATGTTCATATCAATTAGGTCAATGTTTTGCCAGCCTTTTAAAAAAATGCTTCTCTATCAAATCCAATAGAACCAACTTTGCATAGAATGGACATTCATAAAGCGCTGGTGTACTACTGATCCAAGACTGACTTGTTTCACTATTCTCAGAAACATTTTATTTGTTCTGGTGGCAAGCACATAGGATTCCCTATGTCTTCCCAAACATTGGCAGCCCAGCTTATAAGCTTGCTAGGCTGAGAGATCTCAGGCCCACTGAAGGCCTGTTCTACAGAGGTGTCAGCAGCTTCCACTGTTCTCCTTGCTGGGATTCTTCTGCCTCACCTCTGCAGAGCAGCTACCTGGTCTACACCATTGACCTTGGTGAAGCACTACAGATGTGATGCCCATGCCAGAGCAGACTGTGCCTTCAGCAAGCAGTCCAGTCTTTGGTTCTCTGGTAATGGCACGAACCCGCCTCTGGAAAGGTAAACTTGCTAGTCACCCATATGTGTGATGCACAGAGACCATGAAGAAAAAAGGCAGGTTGCTTACCTCTAACAGTTGTCCTTTGAGAGGTCATCTGTGCATTCACACAATATACCCACCATCCTCATATACTGAAATAAACATGTCAATAAAGATCAGTTTTGACCAATACTGAAGTCAGTCCATCAGTTAGTTCCTCCCTCAGTCCCAAGGTCACAATGTTGGTCCTGAGTGAACTAAGGCAATGGACAACAACCTGTCCTATATACCAGCACTGAGCGTGCGGAGAGGGACCCACCAAAACTCTCTCAGTGGCAGAATGTTCCTAACAGTCTCTATGCAGGAGCAGAGCCCATGTGTGTGAATGTGCAGGTGACTATTTGAGAGTTAAGCAACCTGCCTCAATTAAGCCTCCAGAGGGAGCATGCCCAAGCATATGATTATGTGCATGACTTCCAGTATTTATAAACATTGAAATAAGGGCATGTACACTGGAATTTGCACACACATATGTATGTGGGCCACCTCTCCTGAGGCTTGTGTTTCTTCACACTATGTATGCTATTTGTGCATTCAAAATACATCCATAACCCTCTTAAACATGCCAGGGAGCATGCTATTTTCACATTTGAAGGACCAAGGCTGTCTTGTCACATAAACAAGTAATTACTATTATTGTTGATTATTATTAATTTCATGTGTTTACCACCAAATCGCTAAAGTTCTCTGGGCAGTTTACAACTGTTGCTCTCTTTAGCAAAAGTATGTTAATGGAGCTCATCTAGAAAACAATTGCCTGTACACATTCCTGCAGGTTTACCTTGCAGATGCCTACTATTTTCTGGGTTGGCCTCTTTAATCATTTCTGCAGCTCTGTTTTCATTGGGTTCTTCTTTCTCTCCCATATCAGCACAATGAACAGCTTCCTCTGTGCTTAGATTTTCAAAGTCTGTGTGCAAGGATGGGTCAGCAGAGAGGATATTTTGGGGTACACTGACTTCCTCCTTTTCTTTATCTTCTTGCTCCTCTTCTTCAGCACCCACCATCTCTGAAGGTTCTGTTTCTATGGAGGCTATTGTGGGAGGGCATGACTTGTCACCAAAAGCCCTTTTTTATTTAAAAAAGAAACAACAAATGGCAGAATAAATCTTACTCCAAATTCCAATTTCAGTAAGAGGCACTCATAACAAAAAAAAAGTCAGGACTGAACCACTTAAGATATATTGTTATGAAGAATCATTCCCATCACAAAAAGGAATACTTGCTCCAAGGAACAGAAAGAGCAGCAGATGCCTGTAAATACCTGCTCCAAAAGGATTATCAACAAGCGTATTCCACCAAATTAATGCATGGGTGTTGAATGTCAGCCTAAGGGTTGATTTCTGTTTTGCAGAAGTTCTTAGGGGACACATTCCATTAGCCTGGTAGATGGCAGAAGGTATATGGCCAATGTACAGGCATATTTTAGCTTAATGCTCTGCTATTAGCCAAGCCTTAGGGAAAGGCATTTCAGCTGAAGCTGCATGAAAGCTGGGAAACAACCAAATGCTTGGTGATCACAGGAGTGCAGGGTGGCAGTCTGGGGGAACCCTATAGGTCTCGATCTGACCCCCAGTTTTGAGGTTATGAGCCCATGATTTAATTTGACTGATGTGCAAGAAGCCAAACAGACATAACCAAAACAAGATCCTGCTTACATAATCTTCATCAAGTTCATACTTTTATTTTGAACTAGAATGTGACCTGAAGCCCCCCAAAATCCCACACCCTTTTGGTTTTGCATCCCACTGGGTATAGTGCAGACTCACTTTTAAAGTAAGTTCTAATGAGATTAAATCTACAAAACTGCAATTTTATATTGCAGTCTAGCATGTGCAAGCTATTCATAGATTTTTTAAATTTAATTTTTAATAAAACATGTAACTGTTAAGTTTAAAAATCTAAAAACTCTAATTCTTAAAATGGTGTTTGAACAAAAAGATTACAGCAAAAGCAAAGGGAAGATCGAGGCTAGTAAGTCATTGGTAGTTCAAGAAACTTATAAGGAAAGCCGTCTCTCCAAAACACTGATTTGACTGGCAGGAGGCAGGAAGAAAAGGGGAGCATCATTCCTATTTAATAGCTCACTGAGGCTCAGAGGTTGAAGCCTCTCACAAGAGCTCAAGGAAAACAATGGGCAAAGTCGTAAATGCTTATACTTTCACTGCAGTATAGTATCCATCCATCCATCGAGTGTCACATAACATTTACCTGGGTGGCTCAGAGCTAGCAAGTTTATAGTTCTCACATTTGTCTGGATTGGTGCTATAAACCTGAACTTCTTAACTATTCTTCAAAATCATACATCTCTGCTGATTTAAGATAATGGGAAAATACCTCTACCTCTGACATTCCAGGCTTTCATGAAATACCTTCTACAATCAGAACTGACCGTTCAAATTCTACATAGAGCTATTTATTTCTGCATTTTGCAATGCTCAGGGCATATCTTTTCCTGACCTTAGTTTTGGAACTCAGCTTGCCAAACCCTTTGAGTAATATCTTGGCAAAGCTGCCTACAGGTTCACTCCTATTTTGTAAAGTATCCTATTATGCACGCACCATAAGTGATCCATATACGTATGCAGCACTGTGAACCCTTTTCCTTTCATTCCAGCTGCCACCATCTCTGCAGTGGACATCGTAGCTATTCCAACAGCCACAGGGGCTCTGGGGGAAAAAAAGTATGTTGAAAGCAAACAGCAAAATTCTCACTCTGCCAAAAGCATGCTGAGCATTAGCAGCTCCCAGACAAGAAATCTCTTGTTTCAAGTCATGGTTCAGCTGTTGGACATGTGCTTTAGGCACACATGTTCCTTTTTTCGCTTGCATTCCCACACCTTCTTCTACTTACAGGTTCACTGTGGCAACCACAGATTGCCATGATGGCCAAGTCAGGCAAACTATAGTTCTGGCAGGCCATGCTTTTCCTCCAAACAAGATTTGGAAATCTATTTCAAACTGGTTTTCACTTTGAGTTTCAATGCAAACTATGGTTTGCACATATCAGATCCCAATATGGTTCCTGATACTCTTTCTTTAGATACTGTACAACAATGAACCTTCTTTAAAATCCATTTGGCTCCCAAGAATTGGAGGAAAGGCTTTTATGAGTATGAATCAGCAGCAACAACCTTCCCTCCCCAGCATTCTTTAGATGTGTTGAATTACTATTTCCATCATCTCAAGCCTGCATGAATTGGGAATGAGCAGCATATCCCAACACATCTGGGGGACACTAGGCTGGTTTAGAACTAGGTTTTATTGGATGACATGTTCCTTAGAATGAAAACATTCAATACTGTTTGACATATGAACAATACAATCTCACCATCTACCAAATGCACAACATTTAAGAAAATGTCTGAAGCACTAAAGATGTCCCAGCAAAATTGAACAAATCTTTATGCAGTTTTTCCTAATGCAACCTGCTCAGCCTTGTGCTGTTCTTTTGCCTACATAGAGTTGGCTTTGTTCTTTGTTTTACCCTGTGAAAATAGACTATAAGAATGTGTTCCCAAAGAGATTAAATGTTTTAATATTTGCATTCAAGAGAAATCATACCTGTTTCCCACCAAGGTAATAGCACAGAGAGTACCCTGTTCTACCTGAGGAAGACCACTAGGGGACACTGTAACCCCTGGAAGCATTAAATCTGTGGAAAAGAAGCTTCATTAACATCAAAACATTTTTACAATAGAGTAACCCCATCTCCCTCACTTGCTCCTCGAAAGGAAGGAAGGAAGGAAGGAAGGAAGGAAGGAAGGAAGGAAGGAAGGAAGGAGGGTGGGCGGGCGGGCAGGCGGGCAGGTGGACAGACAGGAGCAAAAACATTGATAATTGGATAACAAAGTACATTAAGAACATTAAAAAGTCACGGTGGATCAGACCAATGGTCTATCCAGTCCAACATCTATCCAGTCCAACACGCTGTTCACATTCTGGCAAAGCAGCTCTCCACAGGATCCCTCAACCAGAACAGGTACAAGAGTTCCCCCTGCCCACATTCCTCAGCAGCTAGTGCATACTATCTCTGTTAACCGAAGTAGTACATAGCCAGCAAGGCTGGTAGCCTTCTCCCTCGTGAATCCATCCACTCTGTTTTTAAAGTCATCTACACTGGTGGCCACCACAACTTCCTGTGGCAGTGAATTCCATAGTTGAACTATGGGCTGTGTAAAGAAATACTTTTAGCTGTCCTGATTCTCCCACCGTCTGCTTCATAGGGTGACCCCGGATTCTAATATGGAGGGGAGGATGTTTCCCTTTTCTCTTTCTCCACTCCATGCACACTTTCAAACATCTCTGTTTTTTTTTTTTTTTCTCCCCTTACTTTCCTGTTTTCTATGTTAACAATCCCAGTTGTCGTAAATATTCATCATAGGAGAGGAACCCCTTCATCATTTTAGTTGCCCTTCTCGGTACTTTTTCCAACTTATGTCCTTTTTCAGGAGCAGTGACCAGAATTGCTGATGAGGGATACAATACAGGCTTAATACTTGGGCAGTAATCAACCTTCCAGTTTTTGAATATTTAAAGGGGAGTTCAAAAGCCTGCTAGATCTGAAAGATTCCGCCGGGTCCCTAAAAAAATAATACAGTAAGCACCAGATATGCTTCTTTTTTGGGGGGTGAGGGGAGGACATAACCATTCTGCTGAAGAGCCCCTCTCTCTGGTCAATACCCACTTTAGCTGACTGCAGAATTACCCAGAGAAAGGCTTCAACAGAGGATAATACACAGACAAACTGGGTGTTATTGACATTTTTCTTTTACAAAGGCTATAAAAAGATGAGAATTGTCCTTTTTTTGTATCTTATTTGGTTTTGAGATATTATGGGATAAAATCTTGGGTGTCTGTCTGTGTATGTGCTGGTCAGTTTCAACCTAAATATCAGTACTTTGGAAATTATAAGTACAGGAATCCACATGCTTGCTCAGGAAGGCAAGGGTGTGCAGGAAGTTCAACTGTAAGTCAGGGAAAGAACTTAGACTGAAATGGCAGTTGCAAAAGTGAACAAAAATGACTATCCTCTGGATTACAGAAAAACCAATTTTAAGATAAGAATGTTAGAGAGGAATATAGAATGGGAGTGAGGTGGAAAGGGAAGAAAAGGATGTGATTTTTTGTTGTTGTTTTGGATACCCATATTTTGTCTGTAGGTTTATATCCATTCAGTTCTTAAAACTTTTTCCTATTAGCAATTTTTTTCCATATAATGTTAGAAATTGTTACTTGAAATATTCTGGTCTTTTTTCTTTTGGATTATGCAATTTATGTCTAACAGCTAATCCTCACCCTACCTACTGTAGGGTACTACAGTACTACCTACTTCCAAGATGTAGGAAGCTTTCAGGCTGGCTTGATAGAGGCAGACAGGAAAAAGTTTTCCACCAGGTGCCAGTAGAAAAAGTTACAGGACTGGTAAGGCAAAGAGGACTGGGACACACTATTTGGTTACTTTCCCTTCCATTCATGTTTTATCGCTGAACTGTAACACACTAAAGAAGTATCCAGCAATTCTCTCAAACTGTCATTGCAGTGTTAAAAGGACATTTACCCACTGGGAAGTAAATTTTACTGTCCTACAAAAGGAGCTTAAATCCAAGCAACATGGTTAGGATGGCATTTTAATCAATCAACTCATGACCAACTCCACAAAAGGCATGAATGGTACCATAAAGACTTATTTTGAGGATCTCAGCTCAGCCTCTTACCTGCTCCTCCTGCTAGTTTGTGCAGAACAGGTGGCCACGTGGAAAAGATGGGAAGAAGGTTAGGATAAGACCACAAGGTGTACACTGCCCAACAGAGAAAAGAAAAGGAAATGTTGGTATTACATACTTTGCTTGCCTTCATTTTCCCCGTTTCTCAAAATGTATCATTAATCCAAGCTTAGAATCAAGAAATAAATACATGACTAGAAGCCAGATTGCATAACCCAACCTTAATTTCAAGCTAATATCTGTACTGATATGGAAACTGCCTTATACTGAGCCAAACCATTGGTCCATCTAACCCAGAATTGTCAACACTGACTGGCACCAGTGTTTTGGACTTTGGGTATAATTCTTTCCTAATCCTACCTGGCAATTAAAATTGGGGAACTGAACCTGGAACCATCTGCTTTTAGAGACTGTGTTCTATCTGTCTCTTCCCAGCTCTCATTAGTGCTATGAAGCCACAAAGAATTCAATCTTTTAGCAAGGAATAATCAGTGTGTGTCTATAAGAAAAAAGGGAAGGAAATTAAGTATTCTGCCTAATGTTCATAACCGGCTGGGAGAAAATCCCATTGGAAAGAAGGTATGTGGGGTTTACATTACAGTCAATATCTAAAGAAATGTGCTATTCTTGGAGCAGGCTGAAACACATACGTATTTGTATTTCATCTATGACTGATAATGGGAGTGGCCACACTTTATCAGGAGAACACACTTTGCATCAGAAGGTCCCAGGTTCAGTTTGTTCTAGGTAAATTGGTTGTAAGTATTATCAAAGATAAAGGCAGTAAGCATGCCAAGGGGCAGGCCATGCTGAGAAAGAATCAGTATGGCTTCAGCAAAGGTATGTCCTATCTTGCTAATAATTTAGAGGGTTTTATTTTTTCAGAGTGTCAATTACTTCTGGACAGGGAGACCTCATAGCCATTGTTAATTGGATGTTCAAAAAGTTTTTGACAACTCACAAACCCAAGATTCATTAGCAAACTCCACAGCCATGGAATAAAAGCAAAAGATCTTTTAATGGCTCAGTAACTGTCAAAGAACAGAAAACAGAGAGTAGGAATAAATAGAAAATTACTCCAGTGGAGAGATGGGTGGGAGGGTGCTTGTCCTGCATGGGTTTCCCATGGCCAGGTGGTTGGCTACTTTGTGAACAAAATGCTAGACAAGATGGACTTTTGATCTGATCATACATGGCACTTCTTATGTTCTTATCTCTGGCATATAAAGGCACAGCTAGAAAATGTTTTCTGAAAACATTGAATCATTGCCAGTCACTGTCAACAAAGTGTGTGAAGCAGACGAACGACTTATCTCAATATCAATATGTCAGCAGCATAACTGAGAAGTAGCGGAGTACCCTTCCACTTTTAGAAATAGGGAGCTGGTATCATCAAGATTAAATCTGTCATGGAACTGGTCCAAAGTGAAACAGAAAACCAAACTTAAACCGCCCCAGTCCTTGAATAACAAATTGTCCACTGAAAGTTTTCTGTACCTGTTGGATACAGCACTTTTTCTATTTCAAAAAGGATTGGATTTCTGCTATTGGCATAGACTGTGAGAGCCTCTTCCTTGTGAGCATACAATTTAATAACATTCAACTCCTCTTTATTTGGCACAAGCTCAGATAGCTGTTCAGGAGTGAGGGTAGGAAACGTCGCTGCGACATCACTTCGCAATTTCCGCCTGCAAGAGTCAATCAGCCATTTGTTACTACAAATACCTCCTGAAATATAGTCAACACTAACATTTCATCTAGTTTCTTTTCCTGCTTGAGACTGCTAAACATTTGAAAGTTTGCTTGCTTACTTTCAGTCTACTACTTGAATTGACAATGCTCATTGTCTCAGACCACGATCTTATACATGTTTAGACAGAAAATGTCCTACAACTCCTCATATTCCCATAGCTATGCCAGCTAGGAAGGCTGGGAGTTGTTAGTCAGAAAATGTTCTACATGCATAGCATGGCACCTTTAAGGGCTTAACTATACATTTTTATCCCACCACTCCATCAGTGGCAATTTACAAAACCATACAAACAATCCAATTGCACCATTACTTGAAAAAGAGAAGATCATGATCCATTTTTAAAATAGTAAGTTCACTATAAATCATTACCCTATCTCTTAAATCATATATCATCATTTTTCAGGACCAGTGCTTTAATCACACTTTCTCTTCTGTTAACCTAAAAAGCAACAATTACACTACAAAGTTATCATCCTCTGTCTAGCTTTTCACATCAAAACGAGCTGAGCTTTGGCATTTCAGAAACATTTCCATTCATGATGTATAGTCACCTTCCATTTCTTTGCTATTTTCATCTTAGCCTACTTTTAATGTCTGTCTTAAAGCTCTCTTAAAATCAGTGAGTTGGATCCAAAGATGCCCTTCTGCATGCAGAAGCCATCTTCTGCCCATGCTATTTTCTTAAAAAATATATCCTTCACTGGAGCAATGTGCCATCCCTTTCCCAACCTGGTGTCCTCCAAATGTTTTGGATTGCAATTCCCATACTTCCTACCCAGCATGAAAAAATGTTTTTATTAGTAACTTTCATACTACCTAATAGTTCTATAACAGCCTAACAAGAGTTCCTAAAGAGAACCATGAGACAATAAAAATAATAAAACATTTCATTAAAGTAGAATGCAAAAACAGTTAATATTTTAAAAACAATTTAACAACTAAAACAGTATTTAATACAAAGTAGACCCGTTGAAAAAAAAAATGAGACATAGGTACCTCCATTAGCCATTAGATAACTTTATATCTTTAAATGCCTCAGTACAGAAAGCATTCTTAACTTGGCTCCAAAAGGATAACCAGGGAGAACATCCCACAATCAAGGGCCTATCACCAAGAAGGACCTACCCCTAGTTACCAGCCTCCAGGCCACTCTTGGAGATGGCCCTCAGTGGAAGGGTCTGATGTTGACAGTAGTTAATAGTACACTGAGGTTATGAGTGGAATTCGGTCAAGCCATGTATGAAGGATTAAAATCAGCACTTTCCATCAGGCTGAGAAGCCAATGAAGTGAGCCACAATTGCTATTATGTGCTCATGCCCCAAATCCTGTGTATTACTCTGCTGCTATATTTTGCACAAGCTGCAGCCTCTGAACAGTCTCCAGGGGCTGTCCCACATAGAGTACATCACAGTAACGTAACTTAGATAATTACATATAAAAACTCTAACATTCAAGTACTCAAATTATCCATTGCGACTTTAGTAGCATGGTATAGTCCAGAAAAGGGTTGGCAAGTTCAGGAAAATGCAATTTTAAGCATGACCTTATGTTTTCAACAGCCCATACATTAAAAACCGTAATGGCTGAGAATGATCAAAGCTGATGCCCAATACATTTGGAAAGCAGGCTGGGAAAGGTTCCCCAATATTGTGTTGACTTTTCAGTTCTTAATGTGTGATGAAGGATTTTAGGGATTGAAAGTTCCTCTGATACCAAGTGTGGCCCAGACTGGTCCTTACAGCTACACTAACATGGAGCTGGTGATATTGGAGAAGAACTTAAAAAAAATTAAAAACTGCCAGGCTGAAAAGCCCAGCAAAGTTCTTCCTTGCACCCATCCCAAACACTCACATAGACCTCTTGTCTTGGGCAGTGTAAGCCAGCAAGGCTTTGGAAGTAGCAGATTGGCCACTTCACTCCTACCCCAAACCCATTTGGGATTGTACTGTAAGTTTAGGTCATCCCTTCATGGAAGTTATAGGTTCTGAGCTAGTGTTTGAAGGCAAAAAGGCATACAGGCCAGGAGTGGATTCCAGGAGTAAGAGTGGGTTGATGCTAACATTGAAAGTTGCAGGTCTGCTGTCAAAGATGGCTCTCCATTTTATGTCAATTATTTAATTTGATCTGGCATTTTGGAGATACAGAACACTTTTTCTTTTCTCTCTCTCACCATTTTTAAAACACAGTTCTTGGGTTCTAACTTTTGAAAATCCTAAACTCTACCCCAATGCTGCAATACTGAGTTTCTAGCAATCTCAAGCATAGATGGATACCTTTATTAAGACCAATAAAACTCCTACTAAAGGTATTACTCATCTCCACTTACTGAAACTCTTGTCTATTGCTTTAAATCCAGAAGAGAAATTGCTCAACTTTTTTTTTTTTAAATAGACCATTAAATTAAGGACTCTTCAAAGATGCGCATCAGATAAATCAAACTAAATCAAACTCCCATACACACATAACTAAATCAAACTCCCATACATTCCTCATCAACTGGCAACTTTGGCATTTCACATTAGCAGCAATAACAGCAACAAAACATAAAATCAAAGGGTAAGAGAGACTGCATTACACTGATGGTGGCATTAAGTTAACAAGCCATTTGAAAAGCAATCTTTGTCACTATGTAGAATTACAATCTTCACCCCATCTGCTTTCAAAACTCCTCCGTTCAAACAGCCTTTGCATAGAATCCTGTTCATCTTTAGAAAAAGGAAAATTCCCAACATGTTTTTTTTTTAATTTAAATACGGATGGGAGCGGTCCTGAAAAGCTGAACGATTAAGATAACCTACTACGAAAGAAAAAAGAAGAAAGCTCACCTATCAGACCCTTTGATAGCAGTGTTGGATTTCACTCTAAAAGCTTTGGCAAACATGGTCAAAAAAAGTTCCAAGGTTCAGCAGGCAGCTGAAATCTCCCAGGTTTCCTGCGGGTTCCCCAGCGAGGCACGTATCGTTAGAAGGCAGCGCCCAGGAACGAAGCGACGAGATTCCCCCCGACCTCTTTTTTCACTGCATGGGCGCAGCCATTATGCAGTGTTCCAGCGAAATGAGTCCGTGGAGCAACAAGGAACACCCCCGAGAAGCAGCTGCTGCCTCTACCGCTTCCTGCTCTGGTGATCGCCTGTTAGGAGCAACGTCGAAGCGTGATAGGCTGCCTTCCCCGTCGCTTTGCCTCGCTCAGAATTACGAACGGAGGCTTGTTGGCTGCAGAGAAAGCAGAAAGCCTAGCAGCAGCCGCAAACTTCATTTAAAGCAGCCGCATCTTGAGTTTTGGCGCTAGGATTTTGGGGGAGGGCTGCTTCTCATCGACTATTATGAATTTTGTAAAGGACCTAGTTCCAAGACTAGGGCCCGTGTTTGATGTATATTTGCATCTCTGTTGTATGCTTGTAAACTTCACTGGTGGTAATAGAAACCGAGTCGATGAGGGCATCTTATAAATTGGCAATGGTTTAGGGCTGATCTATGCATGCTTCGTCCGGCCCCCCTCCCAAAAAAAAAGAGTATACAACTGTCTGATGCACACTAGCAGTTGTAGGCCTTTTTCTGTCTAAACTCGCATAGGATCCCACCTTCATTTTTTCACAATTTTTCCCCTACAGTGGCAAGCACCATTTGGAGTTTTCACCTCTGACCCCAAAACATGTTAAGCCTTTTCCATCAGCACTATGGATGAGTAAACTTAGTCCTTACGTCCACAGAGTTTGCATTTACAAGATTACTAGTAGCGAATGTCAGCTGGAAGTGTAGGTGCTATAAATGGGAGCCTTGCCTGGCTGCCACTCTTGGGTGAGTACTAAAAGCATCAGCCTTACTGATAGCTGTACAAGTGGGTTTCTCTGCTCGGTGTCAATCAAGTCCTTGCTTCTGGCTCACTGACTTATCTGACAAATGTGCATTCTTCAGGTTAAGCTGTGACTAGCATGGAGGGCCCTGGATGTTCCCATGGATGTGGGGCAGCAATAATAATGTGGCAACCTAATGATAGTAGTTCCCATCATAGGTTAGGTTACTAAATGTTCAGGTGCGGGAGTGCAGCATTGCACCAGGAAAAGCAGGAGTTCCGATCCTGGAATTCTGGAACGAGCAACACCATGCCACATCTTGCATGCAGTCTTCAGCAAAGTTGCAGCTTGACTGGCAAAGTTTCAGACAAGAGTGCAACTTGGGTAGCAGTGCACAGAGCTACTGGTATCCTGGTGATACATTTCTTGACAGAAGACTTGGTTGTGTTATAGAATATACAGGAAGTGGGGGTGGGGTGGAGTAGATCTTAGTAAGGAACGCCAGAGCCTCATATTTAAAATGCCACAGCTTCTTCCTGTACCCCTGTCAAAAGTAATGTAGAGCTGGCTGATGCAGGACACAATTCTATGGATGTTTAGACAGAAAGAGTCCTATAGTTTCTGAAATCCCCCAGCCAGCATGGCTGACTGAGGAAGCTCTGGGAATTTTTCTGTCCCAAAAGTTGGAGGATTGCACCCTTAGTCAACTGAACAGTCTAATATTGTTTGTTTGTTGCATTTGTATGCTGCACCCCATACCCAAGAGGCTCTCCGGGTGGCTTATATTATATTGCATTATACTAAAAATGCTACATAGTGGCCAAGTTTTTAAAATAACTATTAGAGCTTCAAAAAAAGCCACATCATCTCCTGGTTTGACACTTAAGAAATTGCAACAAAATACCTTATTGAAAAATTGGAAGAGCCTGTAATGATTCATTGTAACTTTTTTCCATGTTAAACAGCTTTTCTCTTTGGTTGGTATTGTGGCACACCAGGACCAGTGCAGTATCAGGTCCCCGGTATGGTGCCTATGCACACCAATGTGTCCTCAGCTTGCCCCTCCATCTCCCTTCCCCTTCGAGCGTGCATTTTTTTCTTTTTAAGCTAGCTATATCTTATTTTATTTTTGAGTGGGAGGCTAGCATGCTGCATTACTTAAAAATACTGTCTGTGATTCACATATGGTTTTTGTGAGTGCAATTTGTGTGTACTTTGGAACTGATAAGGGCATGTTTTGCAACTCTAGCATCAGTTTTGTTTTCTGTGAAATGAGTATTTTGTTGTGCTTTTTGGAGGCAAATATGTGATTTGGTATGTGGGGCTCACATCTCATCTCTCCCTTATAACTTGGGCAAAGAACTGAACATTAGTTTCTGAGCCTCGTCAGTTTGCCTTCTGAGCCTATTGCAGCAGAAAAAATGGGGTCAAAAGAGTAGTTTTGTGTTTTGAATTCAGGCCACTGCTTCTGCCTTGTATGTTTTTGGCTGAATTTAAAATATGCTTCAGGATGTTTGTCTGAGTCCCATAATGCTGTCAGATTTTTTTTTTCCTGGAAAGTTCATCACTTGATACTGTTTTTCCATATGTGTTTTTAACTGAAAACCCTAACATTGATTTTCAAAAGCTGAGATAGCTTTTCTGCAATAGAAAATAAGAATCAGTATGCATAGTAAACTATCACAATGGACTCAAAGTTGAATAAAGTGTCTCTGTGAATTAACAAGATGTAGTTTGAACTCCCAATTTAGTATCCATGTTACACATTTCTTAACATTCTTCATGGATGGCTCACAGCAGCATCCTGGGGATTAAGCCTCTAAATCCTGAATACTGGAGGACAATCTCAGAGTATTGGCAAGGATTTTGGCACCATTGCTGAGTTCGAAAGCAGTATAAGATGAAAGCTCTTAAGAGCTTGCAAATGGCTCAGTCATTCTAATTCTTCAGACTGCCTCTTTCCACAGAGGATCAGCAACTACAATCTAAGTTGTACTGGTTGTTTGGGCCAATGGCAACAACAGCAGACACTCACACCATGTGTGGCACCAGAGACCCACAGCCTCTCAGGGCCTTAGCAGCAGAATTGTGCTATACTGGAGAGAAATTTATTGTATGTCTGTACTGCCCAATAGGTGAAGCTCTCTGGGCAGTTCACAACAGTTAAGCGAGAAGTGTGTCATTGTCTACGGCAACAGAAGTTTGGTCCTACCATATTAGGAGTCTAGAAAAATCTAATGGGGTTTTAGGTGGTAACATAAAGTATGTGCAGAATGGGAGGTTGCATAAAAACGTAAGGACATTGGCCATTGTGAATTCTGCCAAGGCGCTGCTACTGCAGGCATGTAGCTCTGAAGAGGAAGGTATGAACGAGGTCTGCCTTCAGACCAATTTGTTCTGCCTGATACCATGCTGGCAGATGGCTGGTGAGGATCTTCTTCCCACCACTACACTGATAATATAAGCGGGGGTGGGCAGCCGACGGCCTTTCAGATGTTTTGGCTTACAACTTCTCTCATTGTTTGCGAAGCTGGCTAGGGCTAATGAAAACTCTAGGCCAAAAGGTCTGGAGGATCACAAGCTGCTTACCCCCACGGTGAGACATCCCTCGAATATAAGCCATCTGAGTGATCGGCAACCGGTTCTTGCCTCAGATTTGTGTCTAAACACATGCAGGTTACAAAAGCTTATATTGTTAAAAATCCTGTGATAGCAAAGGGAAGACAAAGTAGTGACTAGTGAGCTGTGTGATTTTATATAGTCCTTTGTAGCTCTGCCATATGTTAATCAAGACATGATTTTTTAAAAATGTTGGCAGTTCATTCACCCTCCCTCCCCCCCAAAAAAAGTTCTTAAAAGATGTGAGAAATGAGGTATGTCATACTTTAATGCTTTTACTATTGTTGGTTTTATACACAATGCTCTGTGAAGTGGCCAGGTTGTGTTGATATAATAAATAGCAAACCATTAGCTCACACTCTGAAATATATTGAGATTACTGTAGTAGGCAATCACAGTTTTGATTCAAAGGGAAAGGGAACCTAGTAATAGCAGGGTTGTTGCTCATTACTTTCATGTTATGCTGCTCAGTAGCTTGATCACTGGAAGGAATAAGCAGTGCTTTTAATCTACATTCATGTTCACAGCTGTTCATTTTCCATAATAAGCTTACAAAATAAAGCATGAATCCTGGAAATGGGTATCTGGCTTTGTAAGACTTACAGTTTTCACTTTTTCCTGGCCAAAGACAGGGTAAGGGTGCACAAATCAAAACTGTGGTGAAATACTTTAAAGACTTTGAAGGTGTAGAGGCTTAAACATGATCTTACAAGGTACTACTTCTAGGGTGTGATCCTGTGCACATTTAGGCAAAAATAAAGCCTGCAACTGCCAACATCCTGGAGAGAGCATAGCTGGCTAGTGAATGCGGAGAGTTGTAGGACTTCCCTGTGCATAAATATGCACCGGACTGGGCCCTTAATGACTAAGGCCTTTAATGACAAATGACTGGAAAAAAGCTCAGTTTTTCCCCCTATGGCTTTAAATTCCAATCACCCTACCATTTCTGCTTTCCTCTGTACCCATACAGACCGTCTTCCTTTCATTTTTCCACATTTTGCTGCTTCCAGTCCTTGACCACCACCACTTTCTACAAATCTGAATTCTTTAAAAACTAAAATACTGCACTCAAGATATACTGACTATACAAAGTCAAATTCTTAATCTCAGTGGAAGGGCAGAGTATAAATGCTAATAAGAATACTTGATTAAATAAATAAAAGTTAACTCATTTTCAATGTAGAATTATTGTTGCTATGTAAAGTCGGTCAAGAATTCTTTATTCGAATGTGCATATAGATGCAACAACTTGCATATAGCTCTGCGTTCTATCTGTTTAATGTTTAGGGTCAGACACCCAGCTTAATTATTATAATTACATTATGTGCCTTCAGACTGTCCCAAAGGCAAGAGAATTAGACTAATACATTCAGATATATTACGTGGTTTGGTTGGAGAGAGTTAATAGGGCCAACATGACTGATAACATTAATCTTCCATAATTATCAGCAGCCAAGTTTCCAGGCACATCTTTGGTTACCGAAATGGCAGAGAAATGGCCCACAATGTCTAGAAAATAGCTGGAGACACTTCTGGACAGTAAGATATATTTCAGCAAGGTCATACTTTCCCCCTACCCCACAACTTTGTGAAAAGAAATAAAAATTACAGGTTGTAA